AGATGTCTATAACTCGAGGACTGCCTGAAATGGAAAACCATATTTTATTTCACTCTGAGTTGCTGAGTCTGAATATGGGTATAGTTTCATGATTTTCCTGCACATCATTTTGGGCACCATTTAGGATGGAAAACACCTCTCAAACGGTTGCATCAATAATATAAATCATATCTGGTCACCCTAAAAAGTAGGAGGCTGAATTATATTACTATGTAGGCCAAAATAGTTGAACTCCTCTTTCATTCTTCTGTACACATATATACACTGAAATCCTGAGTGTGAATGCAGGAAATCCAAGCTCAGATCCATCTACACCGCTCAGCAGGATTTGGGCAATTCTCAGTTCATCAAGACCTCTTTACATAGGAAGGTGTAGTCCTAGATGTCTCATATCATGACTATTCAGCATTGAAAAGGCTCACAGGAGAACATGCACACCTACTCCAACATGTTGTATTTGAAATGACTTTGGAAGATACAACAATTCTATATATGATTAACCTGTAATGACTCATTCCTACATGCAAATCATCACAGTAGACGTCAAGTGATGAATATGCTCAGTCCTCAGCCAAATCTATATATAAATGGGTTTAAAAAATAGCCTCATGAGAACATATCAGAAAATACTTGACAAGGTTGTGCATCTTTGGTGGGTCTAGGGAGCAATTTCTGCCTTTAATGCTTTCCAGGAGCTATACATTGGCAAGCCACCCCAAAAATCAAAAATACAAATCCAGAATCGAACAGTTGTCCACTTTTGGATCTGAAACATGATTAGGCCTTTTTTAAATGATATATATTATAAGAGAGCCTATGACCTATAAAAATAGATTTGTGCTCCTGGAGGCTTCAATAAAATGCAACTCATGCCATTTTTGCAAGAATAAAAAGAGGCATGGGAAAGTCTAGGGTGGTGTATGATCCAAAATCAAACAGAGTTATAGTTTTACAAATACATTTTATGCTAATCGTTTGTCTTTAAAGCACAAAGCCAGAGATGACAAGAAGATAAACTTCCTGTTACTTAGGATCAATGCAACAAACTGTTTGCACACTGTGTACCAAAGCTGCAATCACTAAAAGATGATCTGTGAAAGAAAAAAAGTGCCCTGTGGCAACATCTATGCTAAAACATTTATTATGAATTTTCATGGGCTGTGTACTTCACTTCATCAGATTCATTAAATCTTATCCAGAATTTCAGGTTTACTGATAGCTTTAATGTTTATGAGTGTGGTCAATGATGTCAGAAGGAAAGTAAAAGCAGAAAACACTGATAGTGACAATTACAGTAATAATACTGGACCTTCATGAAGTGACTGCTGATAACAGACACATCTTAACACTAGATAAACCAACTGAAGTAGCATTTATGGCAGACTGGGAAATCTGTGGCCCTCCTGATGTTATTGGACTCCCAACTTCCACCAGCCACAAAAAGCCTGACAATACTCAGGAACGATGGAAACTGGTGTCCAGTTCTTGAGAACCAAAGATTTCATGCTCTTCTCTTCTTCCATTTTTTAATGTGTGGTTCTCCGGCACACTGTCCTAATGCCTGTGCCATGAACCCACAATTCATAATACAGTACCAACCCTGTATCCATCTGGTCTCAGTTTCACTGATCCACATCCAACAAAATTTGTCCTCTCTAGGCATTTTTGAGATCAAGGCTTCTGAAACTTTTTCCACCCATGACCCCTTCCCACTTCAATTTTTTTTTACATGATCCCGAATATATAGGTATATAAAATCAAACATTTACTAATGATCAATCAACATCCGGCTTTCTAGACAGATGGATTTCCTCTTTTTATGAAGTACAGCTGAAGCACTGTCTAGTACAGCAGTCGGTTATGACCCCTGTGGATCATTAACCCTTTGGGGGTCGAATGACCCTTCCACAGGAGTCATTTAAGAACATTGGAAAATACATATTTCTGATGGTCTTAGGAACTGAGTCACCACTAACTTTTTCCCACCCCTTTGCTTCCCAGAGGCCCCTTCTTCTCCAAGGGGAGGTGGTGATGTCACTCAATCCCACTTTTTCCACCATTTTAGGGAAAAGAGATGGGAGTGTTAGAGGTGAGATTTGTTTTGCAGCCAAGAGGGAAGAGGAAGGAGGAGGATGAAGTGGAGGTGAGGAAGGAGAAGGTGAGGGAAGGGGAGCCTAGGGAGGGGAACATGGGGGGAGAGGGCAGGACTTAGAGAGGGGTGGAGTGGCCTCTCCATGGCTGAATCCCAGGGAGAAAGAAGTTTCAGATATTTACATTACGATTCATAACAGTAGCGAAATTACAGTTATGAAGTAGCAAATGAAATTAATTTTTTGGTTGGGAGTCACCACATCAGAGAAACTGTATTAAAGCATTAGGAAGCAACTGTATTAAAGCATTAGGAAGGTGGAGAACCACTGGTCTAGCACATTGTAAACATTGCACCTCGTTGTTAACAGATTCATGTAATGTCTAAAACAGCCACTAGGCCAGATTTTTCATAAACCCAACATAGAGTTAAGAAGACCCCATTTGGGATCAGGACCCACGGTTTAAGAAACAAGTGTTCTAGATCATCTAGAATGATTCTATGACTTTTTGAGCCAGAAGTCCTCCCTTTCAATAGAATTCACTATTATCCACAGTTTCTCATATCCATGAAAATATGATCTGTACCATGCTAGGAGAGAAGCAAACAGTTTCTGACATATAGCAAGGGAAGGGAATTTTTGTTTTTGCATATGGAAAGAAATGGAGCAGAGGTCTCCTCAGCACACCTCAAACAAGATGCCACATCAGTTAATGCCACAAGAGCCTGAGCCTGATTGTCATGACAATACCTCTAATATGAATTAGTAGGAAGTCAAATTGTGGCATTCACGCATTCGGAATCAGTATGTCCATCAAGCCTAAATCTTAGACAATGCTATCAACCACCAGATAAGCACACCTAGGTTGCAGATCCAGGAAAGGGAGGGTTGTGTGTGTGTATGTTTTGCAGTAAGCTAAACTGTAGGCTCATGGGTCACATAGAAATGCTTTTGAAACCTTACATTCTAAGAACATGCATTCCCTCATCCTTTGCACAGTTGGGTGCAACAGAATGAACTGACTAGGGAAAACACAATGGATTTAGATGTTACTTAATTCTGCATTTTGATTCAAAGTCCATAAACACCTTCCAGATATGGACCACAAGAACAGAACGGATAGGACCTTGGAATATGCATAATCTGTGTCTCATAGTTTTAAAAAACCAGGAACACAACCACTGGAGATATAAATCTAGTCAGAGCAGTACCATGGGAGTTGCTTAACCTTTTCCCCTTGGGCCACTTTTGCCAATTAAAATGAGCCTCTCTGCTCCTTTTCTCCCTGCTGAGGTCCATAAATTCCCCGATGGATGGGAAAGTAGTTGAACTGATAATATTTCATATCATCTTCTGGAATCTCCTTCTCATGAAGCAACAATGGTTTTCCAGCAATCCTTCTACACACATTTGGTTTTTTCATCAATATAAATGGTTGAAACTATTATCAAGAACTGTTCACAATGTAATTCTAGTTAGACAACACACCAGAAAAAACTTCATTTATCTAAAATTTGAAAGTCTCTAGACATTTTAACAATGTGGCTTTTCTATCTCACCGGGCAGATTATGCATGACTTTAAAAAAAGCTATTGTCAATTTAGACATGCAAAAATACATTCAAGTATACATTCAAGTTCTAGAGCTACCCCAGTACATAGACACTGTGAATAATGTAATTCTCTATCATAATTACTTGGTTCAATATTTGAGTCCCCACACAGAGATAGGATGGGATACAAATAAAGTTGTTGTTGTTATTATTTTTGTGTCAGGAGTGACTTGGGAAACTGCAAGTTGCTTCTGGAGTGAGAGAATTGACCATCTACAAGGACATTGCCCAGGGGATGCCCGGATGTTTTACTATCCTGTGGGAGGCTTCTCTCATGTCCCTGCATGGGAAGCTGGACCTAGTTCCTTGGATTCAAACCACTGACCTTTCGGTCAGCAGTCCTGCTGGCACAAGGATTTAACCCATTGTGCCACCAGGTCCTATTATTATTATTATTATTATTATTATTATTATTATTATTATTATATAAATAACAAGATTAATACACAGCAAACAAGATCACTCTACTGGCTTTGATCACATGTCAACACTTCGCAAGTGTCCAGGACTGTGTGAAGTATCGACGAATAATGTGAGCAGATCCAAGTAGCTGACAGATGGTAATTTTGTCAGCAATGGTTGTTTTTAAGTGCGGGCCAAGGTCTTTAAGCACTGCACTCAATGTGCTGATCACCACTGGAACCACCTTTACTGGCTTGTGCCAGAGTCTTTGCAATTCTCTCTTTAAATCCTCATATCATGCAAGCTTTTCCAGTTGCTTCTTGTCAATCCTGCTGTTGCCTGGGATTGCATTATTATTATCATTATCATTATTACAGATGTGCACCATAAATTTTATTGGTTTTTTATTTTAGCTATCTGCAGCATTAAAACAGAAAGTGAAAACAATATTTACTTCTACTTGTCATCTTTTTATACTGTGCTGAACAGTCATGGGGCTGTTTAAATGGATGTCGTGAAGTATTACAAGCACTGCCTGCTCTGCCTGACTTTTGTCTTAAGACTTTCACCCATGAAAACCCCTTTTTCTTTCTCCAGGCTTCCTTTCCCCCTTTTTTCTCCTTTACACCTGTCAAAAATAAGTCTACAAGCCGGGGCAAGTGAAGAACAAGCGAAGGCAAAGCAGGAAAGAAGAGAACTCTTGATCAATAAGTGCTGATGACTAATCATCACTCCCCACCTGTTCCAGGCCAATATTTCTTCCCAAAGAAGCCTCAAGGCATCAAGTAGTTCAACTGCTACCTTCAAAGGATAGGGCCAGAAGGAAGGCTGACATTCCTTACTTACCACTAGTGTGGAAACAAAACCTAAAAAGCTATCTTTATTTATAGTCATACCTTTTGGATCCTCCCACGTAGGTGAAGGTGAAAGTGGAATCGGCGTATCTGAAATCTAAAACATAAGAGAGCCATGTTGAGACTGATGAACATCCCGGTGTGTGTTGTGCTTGGTTGCATGAACCTGTGTGTGTACCCTTGCCCTTGCCCTGCTTCCCACTCTGCCACAAATGTGAGCACCAGAAATAGTAACAGTCACATAGCAGCCAAAGATGAAATAATACAGCAGCATCATCCCCCCCTTGCCCCCTCCTTGCAACAAGTGCCTTGGTGCTATGGCAACAGAAGAAATGTCCATCCTCAGCCAAGGCAACAGGCAGTCAAGAGCCAGACAGCTCAAGGCAAATCGAGCATTTAAAGTAATGATCAGAGGAAAGCAGCCAGCAAAATATCGAAGTGTTACATTAGGAGAGATGTCTGTTTGTGTGTTGGGGTGGGGGGGGGGAAGCAATGGGAACCGATCACAAAAAGGCAACAGTGCAGGCTGGAGCGTAAGAGGATAAACACTGGTTAAGTCCCACCCTGGCAAGGGGGTCTTTCTTTCCAGCCATGAGGGAGAAAACAGGGAGAATGGGCAGATATTATTCAGGCAAAAATGGGGGGGGGGGACAACCACAAAGCAAAAGGCAGACAGGGTGAGAGCACAGAGAAGGCTTGGTAAGAGAAGGAGGTGAAATATCTCTCTCGAAATGCAATGGAATTGGGGGGAAAGCATAGTTAGCATAGTCCCAGACTACTTCTGTGTTCAGCCCTGCTTATATATATATATAGAGAGAGAGAGAGAGAGAGAGAAGCAGGGCTGGGCACTATATATATAAATATATATGCTCTCTCTGTATATGTGTGTGTGTGTGTGTATATATATATATTATATCTAGATAGATAGATATCTAGAAGCTGGGCTGGGCACAGAAGTGGCCTGGGACTATGCTAGATAGATAGATAGATAGATAGATAGATAGATAGATAGATAGATGATAGATAGATATAAAAGTCGGGCTGGGCACACACAGAGAGAGAGAGAGAGATACAAACACACACACACATACACACACACACACACACACCAGGCGTAGATGTGGGGAGGAAGGCTGTTTTGAAGCATTGGAAGCAGCTATTCGGATCCACCATGGGGTGATACACAACTGTCGCTCAGCAAACGCACACACCGTCCAAAATCAAGAGGAAGACATGATGGCAACAGCCCTCCTGGAATCAACATGTGGGGTGATGGGAGAGGCGCCCCCAAGACCAAGGCCAGGGGGGCATCCTGTGGCCAAGTGGGCCTGGGAGGGAGGGATCCTGGGAGAGACCCGCCTGGCAAGGCTGCCCTGCTCACCTGCAAACAGGCAGTCCTTTTCCGCCTTGCACGCTTGGATCACAATGTCAATATCCTTCTGAATCCTCTCTTGCCTTGAACACATCCCCATGAACTAAATCCCTGGGGGAGGAAAAAATAAAAATAAAACAAAAAAAGGGGGGGAAGGGCAGGCTTTGGGCTTTCCCCTGCCTTTCTCTTCTTCTTTTTCTTCTTCTTCTTCCTCTTCTCCTTCTTCCTCTTCGCCCCTTCTTCTTCCTCCTCTTCCTCCTCCTCCTCCTCCCTCCCTGTCTCGCTCGCCGGCTTCCTTCTCTGCCAGCGTTGAGAGGCAGCTAAAAGATGGAAACCCGGGCGGCACGCGGGGCGAGGAGCGGAGCAAGGCGGTGGAGATGGTGGTGGTGGTGGAGATGGAGATGAAGCGGGAGGAGGAGGAGGAGGAGGAGGAAGCGCTTCCTCAGAGCCGCCCGGCCGACCGCTCGCTCTGGCATGCCCAGATGTGGAGCTCCGGGGCGCTGTGTTGATATTCTTAATGTGATGTTATGATGGTTCCTTCCCCTCTCCCTCCCTCCCTCCCCCCTCCCTTCCCGGGCAAAACAGAAGCTCGTAAACATGGAGGAGGAGGAGGAGGAGGAGGAGGAGGAGACGGGAGGCAGGGGCCGCTGGGCTTCTCAGGAGCCTAACGCCGCCGCCGGAGGAAACGGAGCTTTCCCATCCGCTCTGCCTGCCTTGCCTTCGGGGCTGCTGCTGCTGCTGCTGGGGAGATGAGGAGGAGGAGGAGGAGGAGAACAACAGCCCCGAAGGAAGCGGCGGCGCGAGGCTCGCTGGCTTTCAGTCTCTCTCTCTGTGGCTTTCTGTGTGCGCCTCCCTCCCTCCCTCCTTCCCTCCTTCCCTTCCCTTCCCTTCCTTTCCCTTCCCTTCCTCTCTCCCTCCCTCCGGGCCCCACGCGCGCACGCAGCGGCGGCTCCCTCCGAGGCCGAGCCTCTTCTGCAGCGACGCCAAGCCGCAAACCCCTCCCCTCGCCGACCAGCCACACGCACCTCCACACACACGCACACCCGCCCCACGCACTGTGGCTCTCCGACACGGGCAGAGGAGGAAGGGAGCCGCCTCCAAGCCTGGCTGGCTCCCTCCGGAGGGGCCTTGCGGAGGGCCAAGCAGGCAGCCCGTATTTCGGAGAGGAGGGGGGGGGGGAATAGCAAGCAAGCAGCGCCTCCACAAGCCCAATACATCCTGGTTTCTTGTGTTCTGTCGAGCCCCCCCCCCCCTCCCTCCAACTGTGGCCGTGCCCCTGCTGAATTAGGGCCAGCCCGTGATGTAGAGCATAGGTCTTTCCTCAGACTAGGGTCGTGGCCAGAGCCTTCCTTGGAAAGAGAGGCCGCGGCACCGGGATTGTCTCATCGCTGGCATCCTGGGACACACACATACCCACGGACTGTGGCTCTTCGACACGGGCGGAGGAGGAAGGGAGCCGCCTCCAAGCCTGGCTGGCTCCCTCCGCGGGTTTTCCCCCCATGATCCAGAAGTTAGAGTCTACCGTCTTTAGGAAAAAGGGAACCAAAGGCAGTCACCTGCAGATTATGGTGATGACTCCATGGATTCCTGTAGTTTTCCTGAAGCATGAAATAGTAGGATTGGTTTTGTCCATGCCCTAGCTACCTCCAGGTTGGACTACTGTAACACACTCTACGTGGGGTTGCCTTTGAAGACAGCCCAGTTGGTCCAAAGATCTGTGGCCAGATTGCTCACAGGAGCTAGTTACAGGGAGCAGTCAACCCGCCTGTTTAAACAGCTCCACTGGCTTCCAATAAGTTTCCGGTCCCAACTCAAGGTGCAGGTGATAACCTATGAAGCCCTGAACAGTTTTGGTCCTGCCTATCTTTGAGATCCCACCTTCCCCCATGAACAAGTATGGACTCCTGGTCCAAAGATCTGTGGCTAGATTGCTCACAGGAGCTAGTTACAGGGAGCGGTCAAACCCCCTGTTTAAACAGCTCCATGGGCTTCCAATAAGTTTCCGGTCCCAAATCAAGGTGCAGGTGATAACCTATGAAGTCCTGAACAGTTCGGGGCCTGCCTATCTTTGAGATTACGTCTTCCCCTATGAACAATGACAGACTCCTGCAATCATCTGGTGAGGCTCTGCTCTCTCTTCCGCCGTGGTCTCAAGCACGGTTGGTGGTGATGAGGGAGAGGGCCTTTTCAGTAGTGGCCCCAGGCTCTGGACCTCCCTCCCTAGGGGGATCAGACAGGCTCCCACCTTGTCCTTCTTTTGGAAGGAACTAAAAACCTGGGTGCCCCATTGTGCCATTGATTAGGCAGTTCACCAGAAAACAAAATAAAGCTCATCACATTATTTTGGCCCTCAACACTTCCGGCAATAATTCCCCAGCCCTTGTTTCTTTCAATTTCAGCACCTTCCATGGGTTCCTGTCAGGAATTAATGTACTTTTGAGCCTGAATTCAGCTATGTTCCCTTTATCTCAGCCATACTGTTTTATGATGTTGTTTTTTATTGTGTTTGTTTTATATTTTATTTGATTGATTTTATTTTGTTTCTGTTTTTATCTGTAATTTTTGGGTTTGTCCCTTGTAAGCCACCCTGAGTCCCCAAGGAAGAGGGTGTCGGGGTATAAAAATAAAGTTATTACTATTATTATATTATTATTATATTGTCAGATCCCTTCTCTGAAATGTAGCATACAACACTATGGTATGTGCCTGCTGTCTCCCATCCAAGTACTAACCAGAACGATTAGAGGAGATCTGGAGCCTTTGAGATAAGTAGGACCATCTCCCCCTTTCACCCCACTCAACAGAAGGGGTCACTCCCAGTAAATAGTTGGACAGGTTGACAGCTCACAAATATCATATGTTGACATTCAGATGAAGGAACTAGCAAAAACCACCTCAGAGTTGATCAATGTGTTGTCAAAGGCTTTCCTGGTCAGAATCAGTGGGTTGCTGAGTTTTCCAGGCTGTAAGGCCATGTTCCAGAAACATTCTCTCCTGATTCCTCACAAGAATCAATCAGGACCAGCTAACACCTCCCAACAAAGGATTCTCAGCCAGACCTTGAAACTGCAGGCCATTAAATGCAAATCAAGGTGGCAAATTCCAACATTCACACATATCTAAAGCAGACAGTTTTCTCCCACCCTGGACATTCCACAGATATATAAACTCCACCTACCCCTGAGAATGCCTGCCATAGATGTGGGCAGAATATCAGGAGATAATGCTTCTGCAACATGGCCATACAGCCCGAAAAACTCACAGCAACTCACCTCAGTGTTTTCCTTCCCTAAGAAAACTCTATGAAATTAGTAGGGTTGCCATAAGTAGGAAAACTAAGGGCATCATATGCTTTACTGGAGATTGGCCAGGTTTTTTTTTTTGGGGGGGGGGGGGTTGTTCTGTTGTTTGTGTTTAGGAGCCCATCATAATTGACAGGCCCAAATTGCAATATTTATGTAAGTCTGGTACAAGCTGTCCTGTGTTTTCCCCCTTTTGGGGTTCATAGGTGAAGGACAGGGTGTCTGGGAAACCCTTGCCTACTAGTTGACTCAATAGGCCATCCTTGGTTTTGGTCACTGCCTGGCAAGGAGGGAGGAAGACCCCCCTCCCAGCTCTACTCTTGAGTCATCTATTCACATGCCTCATAGCATCCATGTTACACTCCCATGGCATGATGGACCATGGAGTGGTTTCTCACAATTCCCTGGACATGCTATGCTCAGAATCCTATCCAAGCTTTGTGTGTGCAGATGTGCTTCCAAATCCCCTATCAACTTTACTATGATGCCATGAATTTTTCATAGGGATGTCTTAGACAAGGAATACTCAGTGGCTTTACACTGCTGTAAATGCTCTTTTTAAGATAGTGCAAAAGAGTAGCATCAAGGGTTGTGTGTTATGTATGATTCCCAGATACACCATGATCCATGTCTAGAACTGTTTCTTTGAGGTACCATAAAGTGGTCCTTAGCGGTGGGTAGGGAATTGGATTGGCTTTTCTGTAATAGGAAAGTCCACAACCACACCATCAGCGGCACAATGATGTGTGTGATCTGGTACAGCTATGCAAACATACATTTATGATATGTAGGAGTGTAACATAACCAGAGCTCACATAGCTGAACCCTCAAGGCTTTTGGATTAACGTGGATTATGATGCTGTCACTTTCCTCTGAATTTATCTGCAATCACCTCAGTAGTTATAGGGGAAATTAGTTTTTGCAACAGTTACCCATGTGGTAATGATACTTCAGGGAGGCTTGAACTTAAGGGAGTGGGATCTATTAGTTTTACAAAAAAATTGCTTTTTTATAAAAATGGCAAATTTTGGCATTTCAACCTAATACAGTGGTTTATTTATTTATCATGTCAGAAGCAACGTGAGACTACAGTTACAATGTATAAAAATCAAAGTTAAAAACTTGGCATTAGGCTAATTTTCCTTTGACCAGAAGCTGGCTACTTGGATTGCCTCTGGTGTTGCTGTAAGGAGATCCTCCATTGTACACGTGGCAGGGCTTACACTATATTGTAGTAGGTGGTGTGGTTTGTTCTCCTCCGCACTCGCATGTTGTGGTCTCCACTTTGTATCCCCAATTCTTAAAATTGGCTCTGCATCTCACGGTGCACAGCCTGCTCAGTGCCTCCCAAATTGCCCAGTCTTCTGCATGCCCAGCCATTGATTGAGGTTTTGGGTTTTAGCCTGCCACTTTTGGACTCTTGCTTGCTGTGGTGTTCCTGCAAGTATCTCTGTAGATCTTAAGAAGCTTCTTTCTTGATTTAAGTCATTAGCATGCTGGCTGATGGAGCAGAGATGTCACTGCCTTGCTCCTTTCATTCCCGGTAGATATCAGGTGGTATAATACCTGATCAACAGTATAATTTCTTCAACGGTGTTGGGTGTAGACATCCTGTGATAATGTGGCATGTCTCATTAAGAGCTGCATCCACTGTTTTAACGTGGTGAGATGTATTCCATATTGGGCATGCATACTCAGCAGCAGAATAGCAAAGTGCAAGGCAGGTTAAATAGAACTAAATAAATAAATATAAAATATGCTAATCAATAAATACAGTATATTACAGTATATAGTACATTTGATATATTACACTTTGACACTGTCCTAGCAGTTGTGGCTCTACACTACTCCAGGCTTGATACCTGATGTTTGGCATGGTATTTAAACATATCTTTGACTACAGCACTAGAACTCAAATAGCACAAACTGAAGCTATCCTGAATGTTCCTGTCATTGTGTGCCTTCAAGCTGCCTGCAATTTATGGAGATCCTAACATAGGGATTTGCTTCATAAGGTTAATTTGGAGGATGTTTGCCATTCCCTTCTAAGGCTGAGAGAGTGATTTCTTCAAACTCAGTCCATTGTGTCTCCATGGTTGAGTGGGTGCTCAAAATCACAATAACAGACTTGCCCTTGAATGAATTTACCTGGCAGAATATGATTACATACCTTGTAACATTTCCAAAGATGAAACACAAAATGTATGTGGGTAAGCAATATCCAAGTGTGCTCAAGATGGCAAAAGTTATTGA